TATTATTTGGAATATCTTCCCACTTCATATTGTTTTCGACACCTTTCTTGTGATGAAGACAGATGGCAGAAAGAAGAGGGAGTTCACTTTAATATCTAAGGAGTGATATATTTAGGAAATGAATTTGAGGTTTTGCGGGGGTTCTTTGTTTATTTGTCTTTAAACTTTCCATTTGCAAAGAGCTTATTAGAGAAAATGGAAATGATTTCGTATGAGTAGCCAGGAATTTTCCACCATTATCACCTCCTGCTGTCTTACCCGTAAAAGAGGGATGATTTTGTGGATTTCCACATAGAGGAGAATAGCAGAGAGGTGGGCTGGCAAGGTTTGAATTGTGGATTGATAGTTGGATGGATGCGTGATTTCAGGCAAGTGCCTTAACCTCCCTGTTTCTGACTTTTCGCAGCTGCAGTATGATAATCACAAAAGTGCCTAATTCACAGGGCTGTTGTGACGAATAAACAAGGCAATGCACAAAGGGCTTCTAATAGTACCTGGCACATGCTAAGCGCTCTAGGAACTGATGGATAATGCACTGGAGTTAGACTACTTCCGTGATGCAAACATCACAGAAGATGTTTGTTTTATTCACCACTTCATCCTAAACATCTATTTTAGTGCTTGGCATAAAGTAGATATTTAAAAAACATGTGTTGAACACATACAGAAGTGAGTAGGGATGAGGAGACTGACTCCCAGGTTCTACTCCTAACCTTGCCACTACCTACTGCCCGTCTCGCCCACTGTGCCCAGCTGTGAGAACTTGGAATAGTCACCGTCCTAGATCTAGCATCTCTTTTGTAAAATGGAAGGATCATGCAAAAGAATGATAAACTATGTAGCTATAAACTAGAATCTATAATCAACTACTACACTTTTCAGAAAAAGGATGATAATAACCTTACCGCAACATAATTTGAAAATAATCAACAGTATGAAGACTCTACAAAGTTGCTCTACTGTGGTTTTAACATTTTCAAAAGAAATTTAATGGAGATTGTCTGCTTCATCAAAAAGGGCAGTAATGGGCTTCCCTGGCGGCGCAGTGGTTGAGAGTCCGCCTGCTGATGCAGGGGACACGGGTTCGTGCCCCGGTCTGGGAGGATCCCACATGCCGCGGAGGGGTTAAGCCTGTGAGCCATGGCCGCTGAGCCTGCGCGTCCGGAGCCTGTGCTCCGCAACGGGAGAGGCCACAGCAGTGAGAGGCCCGCGTACCGCAAAAAAAAAAAAAAAGGTCAGTAAAACTCACTAGCACTAATGCCATCACTCAGATATGCTACCTTTCCCTACCAGTTCTGTGTAGAGGGAAGGAGAAAGAAGTTGGTTATAGAGTAATTAATGTACAAACTTGCAACTAGAGTAAGAATAAGTCCTGGAGATCAAAAATACAGCATAGTGATTACAGTCAACAATACTGTATTATATACTTTAAAATTGCTAAGAGACTAGATCTTACATGCTCTCACTGTGAAAAAGAAATAATTATGTGATGTGAGAGAGACCTTAGCTAGAGCTACACTGGTCATCATATTGCAATATGTAAATGTATCAAGTTATCACATTGTACACCTTAAATTTATACAATGTTATATGTATAAATCTTACCTCAAGGGAAAAAAATAAGAGTATTTTAATGGTCCTGCCGTCATGTATTAAACCTTTCTTGGTTTTCCAATACATCTAGGCTTGTATGTGAAAGAGCAAAACTTGACTCATAAGGAGTGTAATCAAAGTGACTCAAGCCTTCAAAGTCTCAGTTTTTCCATCTATCAAATGGGATAGTAATACCTACGCCTTTGGGATTATCATGAGCAGTATATGAAATAACCTGGCAAAGGACCAAGCGAGAATCAAACTTTCAATAAATAATAGCAATTAACAGGATAATAATGATTATTATTACAATTATTTACAAGAAAACCACTTCCTCACAAATGTTAACAGTGTTCAGAGTTATCCTTCTGGCTGATACTGCACAGTGCATAAGTTGGTTTTAGGGTATGGGTTTTAGATATGCTAGTGGAGCACCTAGAAGAGACAACAGGCAAAGAAATGTATGCCTGCTAGGTAACCCTTTGCGTGAAGTGCTGGATGGTGAGGTGGGGGAAAAAAATTAATGTTTAAACTTAGAGAAGCAGTTGGGTCAGAAAACAAGAAAATGGAAAGGTAGCACAGCATAGTGGTTAAAAGCATTATGTATTGATAGTTATGTGACCTCACTTAATTTCTCTGTGCCTCAGTTTCCCCACCTAAGAAAAATGGAGACAGTAATACTGAAGAGTTAACATTTATAAATGGCTTAGAACAATGCCTGAAATACAGCAAGTGCTATATTAGTGTTTGTCAAACTAGGACAGTGATACAAATGGCAGAAGTTACACAGAACTGCCTGTGAAGAAACCTTTGGAGTAAAGACTAGCAAGGTGGCCTTCTAGGAGCACAACCTGGAAATCTCCCAGGCTCAGTCATCTAGCCAACAACTTGGGCTCCTCCTATGTGCAAGGTGAAGTTCTGTAGCCTTAAAGAGAATTGATTCACATTTGACGTGACAGAGATGGGCCAGAGGCAAGGGCAGAAAGGAGCTCCGGTTGGGACTGGGAGTAACAGAAGTGTGTACGTAGGTAATATGACCCTTCCTATGGTCTTCCACAGCATTCCCTAATGATCCCACAGCATCCTAGGTACCTGTTAATTATATGTAAGTGTCTCCCCAAGGCAGGGCTCTCTGAGGTGCAGACTGAGTCCTGTACACTGTGAAATCCCCCTTCCGCAGTGCTCAGTAAGTATGTGTTGAGGTCGAACCAAAGTGAGTAAAAGATCGAGCCTGTAATTACTGAGCACTCAGTTCTTGGGCCCCTAATTGCTCCCCAATCCACTTTCAATCCCCAGTGCTGATCTAAATAGCTCAGTGTTAACGTGTGGGATGGGAGAGCTGTGATCCCAAGGACATGGCCCTTTGAGTAAGAGCCTAGTCTTCTTTGTAGTGCTGGCTTAAAATTATCCAACAGTAAAGCTGGCTACAAAGCCTTCTGCTTAGGGATATCCTCCAGCCTCTTTCCTCAGTTCATCCACAAACACCTCAAAACTGGCACAAACAAAACTGAACTCACTAGCTTTGTAAATGAGCTGATTTTTTCTTCCTTCTTTCTTGACAGCCATCCATCTATCAAATTCTTTTCTGTGTTTTCCTCGAGAATGTCTCTCTCCTACAGCCCTCTCACTAATCTCTCTTCCACCACCTCACAGAATCACACTTGGATGACCGCTGCAGAGTCTCACTGCAATTCTGCCTGCATATCACTGCAAGATAAATCTTCCTAAAATACATGCTTTATCATATTTCTTTCCAGTCCAAGACCGAGGCTCCCTATTTTTTACCTTTACCTAATCTACTTTGCTCATCCTCCGTACTTTGGCCCTACCCTGCCCATGTATTACTTGCTTATTAAGTTTTGCATGCAGAATCTTCTATTCTACTTAGCGACCTCAGAGCACTAATCACTGAAATTGTTCTCTCATTTAAGTACAATATCTAAAATACTTGCTTCTCTATGCTTTGCCCATGTTGCTTCCCCTTTTGGAATATCCTAATCCTTTGGCTATTCAAGTTCTAGCTCTTAAATTAACATTCTACTCTAAGCCACATGTGTCAGTACTAATATATAATTACATTATCCTGTGTTTCCCTCTGTTTCCCGTCCTTATGCAAAAGTGTTCCCTCTTCAAGAAAACTATAAACTGCTTGAGGGCAGGGAGTTTACATTTTTATCTGTTTATTGAACAAATATTTATTGAGTTCCAGCCTTGTACCAGGCACTGCACTAGGCTCTGAGGTACCGTGATGAACAAGGTAGCCATAATCTTTGTCCTCCCAGCACCTACATTCTAATGTTTATGTGTATGTGGGGGGGGGGAGTGAGATAACAAATTACACAAAATTATATGATTAGAAACTGAGGGAGGCACCATGAGGTAAAAGTATAGGGTGCCATGAGACCATTGCAAAGCTTCACATTGAAAGAAAATGCCCTTGAGCTGAGAGCGAATGAATACAATACAAACAGGCAAATGTGCAAAGGTTTAAAGAAGGCTGGAATCTTAGAGGAACTGAGAAAAGTTTGGTGTCCATAAGTGCAGGGGGCAGAGGATGAGCCATATCAGATGAAGCTACTGAGGTACAAGCTGGGTGTACTTCCTTGTGTTGTACCAGAATCAAAAAGTACTTGCTAAGTGAGGGTAAACTTTAAGTGGTCCTTAAGAGTCATAAAGCATGATGACAGAGGCCATTTCTGAACTTTTCTTGTCTGTATACTTGGAGTTTACAAAAAAAGCTGAATATCCAAAGCTTAAAAAATATGAACACCTAAGTGCTTAGGACGGTGGTTGGGATGCTCATCTTACTGACCCAAACATGCCCAGTGAGGATGCAGGGTGAAGGAAATGGCTTGGAACAGGCTCCATGTGGCATTAAGGATGAGAAGACCTGCTGCTATCAGCTTTGGCTTTTTGTTTGTTTTCTCAAGTTCAATAAAAAAGACATGGACCAATGACAACTATGATATGTGTCTACTCCACATTACAAGTTTGATGCCAAAATGCTTTACACAGGCCACCTAACAGATGGTAATATATTTCAGCCATTACCAATGTGAGTAGGAATCAAACCAGTGACCCCAGAGGTGAGAGGGTGTATATCCAATTACAAATTCCCACTTTCCTTAAGTGTTAAGATGCCTAAAGCAATACATGTTATTTACATTAGGATGCACTGTATAAACTATATTTGATAAAAGAGATGACTTCACGTTCTCAACTTAAATCAAAGAATGCTTACTTAAGTATTTTTTTAATTGAATCACACTTTAATGCCATCATATAACCTTTTGGTTAACGGTGCTCATCTTGATTATTCTAACAAAGGGAAACATGGAAATTAATACTTAAGTTGTACAGCTTATGTCATCTATAAAAATACACACAAGAAAATTCAAAAGAAATACCTGGGACATCTGTGAAGGTTTCTCCAAGGACAGATACGTGGAAATTGAGTCCTAAGTCCTTAAGATGCATCAATACCTTAAAAAAACTCTCTGGATCTTTATCATGCTCCCTGGAAATAAAAACACAAAACAAAACTTGTGATATCTTAGGGTATGTGTTAGGAAAAGTGTTTTCACTTCTCATAGTATCAATTCCTCTCATGGTCTATTGTTAGTTAGGAGAGCCTCTGGCATCCAAGCTGAGATCTTCCCTCACCCTTATACTGTAGCATTAGTATTGAGTGTTTTCATGAATCTAATTTCTCTATCATGGATCAAAACCCAGTCCTATTGAAGTCTCAAGGCTCTGCAACCTTTTATTAAAGGAGAATCTGTTTTTTTCACATTTTTGGGTTAGACTATAGAAAGTCTAGCTTATTTTCCTTTCTCCTAAAATGGTTAATTTTCCACTTAACACAGGTTTTTAACAAAAGAAAAGACCAGTCTTCAAAGGACGATTCACTACTGATCATGAGAATGTACCAAAGATGCTTTTCATTTCCACGAGTCTGAGTACCTCTCTCTCACATTTACTGAGCCTCTTTCTGTCCACAAGGAACACACGGTTTAGGGAGTGAGATTACAGACTCTCTCACTAATCTCTTATTTTTAATAATTGAATGGAGAATTATAAATACATCAAAAGGGGGTAGGCCTGAGTCTAAGTCCGCTGAGTATTAACTTAGGAGTGGAGGTTAGTCAACGCATAAAAGAATAGTAATAAAGATAATTCTTTCATTTAGTAGAAGCTTTGAAAAACATGGATTATTTTTGTTTGTTTAGCTTGTCAGTCTTCTTTGTAATGACAGAATAAGAGGCTAAAGGACACTAAAATTTAAAAAAATCACCAATTCAAGAAATCACACTAAAATGGAATGACTTATTTTTTACATTCTAAGGTGTGAATATTTCAGTATTTCTTGCATTTAATCACACTGTTTTAAATTATCTTATTTCAGACAGATGTGGACCAGATGTCTTCAAAATATTTGTTTTTTCATTTATAATTCAGAATTTAAACTTATTTTCTATATTTCAGAGAAATAGTTATATATCAGCAATTGAATTTCTCATTTACCAACTAATTATGTAAAATAAATCTGTAAATTGATCAAACTGCTATATGAAATATGAAAATTATATCATTCAGGAAATCTCATGAAAAATGACATCTGCAACCCTAAATGTGTTAATTCACAATTCAGTCAATATTTTCAGTATCAAGAATTAAAACAAATGCATCTTCTGATTAACATTTTAAAACGGCATGTATAATCTCCTGGAATTGTAAGATCTTATAGAATTAGAGTTCTGTAACAATTTATTTTAAGCTCTCAGTTTGATTTGCTTCAAATAATAAACAATGCAGTGGCAAAATGTTCATTGCTTTTTAAGATGATGGGTATTACACACATGTACCACTGGGAAGTTTTGGGGGTAATTCTCACATATACTACTGCTGTGGGCAAGAAAAAAGACTCAAAACAGTTTAAAGTAAAGAATACACCATATGTTATCTTCAACCATATCAATCAAACAGCTGCCACCTGACCTGTAGTATATGTTACTTTACTCTGAATCTCTTGGAAATACGTAGATGAAAAGAATGGAAACAATATAACAATATATTTTAAGGAGGGAGTAACACTACAGGGAAATCTAGCCACTCAATTCTCTAAATTTTTCATTTGGAGTTCCAAAAATTTTGGCTATGGGTCCCTGAGAGAATATCTATTCTAAATATTTCCTGCTGCTTGTTTGTTGGTTGGTTGGTTTGTTTTGTATTAAAGTAAAAGTAGATGTGGTTTGGGCTTGGAAGGAGGTTTAATTGGGTAGAAGCTGTAGTTCTTAAAAGATTCCAATGTGAATATTTTCAAAGCAGCAGGCTTCATGAACCTATATTTTCAGTGTTTCTATACAAGATAAATGCATGACAATCCTACTATATTCTTAAGATATTTTTTATAGGTAGACAAAAGCTCTCATATTCAATAGTCACTTTGCATAAGAACACAAAAGAGATTTGCATGAATCCCCCTCTCTTTTTGTTTAAACTACAATATATGGATGAATGTAAGGTGAGATTCTTCTTCCATATAATTATCCCTCAGAAAAAGAGGCATCTTATCTAAAGTCCTTATAAAGTCTCTCATAATACCAGGCACTCTCTCAATTACTTTATTTTGAACAAAGTACAGTTTAGGAAAATAGCATTAACCTGAGACGCCAACTGATGAGAATTTTGGATAGTTTTAGCAGTCATTCACTTGATGGGACCGGTAAAAACAGAAGCCAAGGGATTTAATACTGAGTTAGTAATTATTTTGGGAGACATGACCTAAAAATTCAAAGTGTTTTTGAAAACAAGTATTTTAAAGATCCCTAAAAAAAATAATAGAGTAAGTGGTTACTGGAGACTATGAGTGGTAAGTGGGTTTTTATAGCCAGAGAAAAGATTTCCAGTGATGGCATCATACGGTTTCACAATCTTGCACCCCAAACCGCTTAGACTGAATTCCAGATGACAGGTGGCAGAAACATGCCAGCTGCCTGAAAAGGTGGTACCATTCTGGTGTCAAGAATGCATGGGAGGGGGAGTTAGACTAAAACTACATCATAAACTATAAGGTTGAGAAAAGAGCAATACCTCTAAAAATATTCTACATGATATATGCTTTAAAGTATTATCTATGTCTAAATTAGTAGATTACGTATTATAAGTAGACACTTGGCCAGTTCATCCATGCCCCTCAAAGTTTACATAGTCAATTTAGCTGAAAACTTTTCTCGGTTTTCTCTTTAGACAAATGGGAAATTGCCTACTATTCAGAGAATCATTAAAGATGTGCACAGATATCCAGCCCAGCCATATATCAAGGCACGGATATAGCAATGGCAGAGCTCAATATATTTTGTCAAGAGAGGGACTCACTGCAGATATCCAATGGATCATCCATGGATCTTATCCTAGCGCCCATAATATTAATGGACCCATTTAGCAGAGAATGTGAATCTGTCTTAAATTCCTTTCTAAGAAATCTAATGTGAAGTTCTCATACTTATGATTTTAGAATGAAGCATGAAACATAGGATGAGGTATTTTAAAATAACATATTGGGCTTCCCTGATGGCGCAGTGGTTAAGATTCTGCCTGCCAATGCAGGGGACACGGGTTCGAACGCTGGTCTGGGAAGATCCTACATGCCGCGGAGCAACTAAGCCCGTGTGCCACAACTACTGAGCCTGTGCTCTAGAGCCCGCGAGCCACAACTACTGAGCCCACGTGCCACACTACTGAAGCCCACGCGCTTAGAGCCTGGCCTCTGAAACAAGAGAAGCCACCGCAATGGGAAGCCCACGCACTGCAAGAAGAGTAGCCCCCAAGCGCTGCAACTAGAGAGCCCACGTGCAGCAATGAAGACCCAACGTAGCCAAAAATAAATAAATAAATAAATAAATAAATAAAAATTAAAAAATAAAAATAACATATCGAGTGCCCCTTTTTGTCAACAGCTATCAGGATTAAACACACATTTAATGGTATCGTCAATTCTTTATAACCACATTTGTAGACTTACGGGCTCCTAAACTCTCTTCTTCTGTGCTCATCGATTCTGGTAGGGATGTAAATTGCAACAATATTTTAGAGGGCAATTTGGTAATGTACATAATAAGCCTTAAATTGTATATAACTTTTTCCACAGTAATTCCGATTTAGAAAAGTTACCCTATGAAATAATTAAAGAGGTGCACAGAAATTCAGCCAGAGTATGTTCATAACAGCATTGTTTATAATAGCAACCATCTGTAAACAACGTAATGGGATGATAAAGAAATAATACTTTGACACATACATATGATATAATACCCTGCAGCCATGAAATAATTTTGTAGAAGTATATTTTTGGCATGGAAATATATTCAAGAAATACTGTTAAGTAAAAGGGAGGTGACGGAGCAATACATATTTTATGATCTATTTTTGTAAGACAAATGGACGTATGTGCCTAGAAAAAAAGGTTGGGGTGAAGTATACCAAAATGTTAACAGGGTTTATCTGTAGGGGCTACATTATAAATGTTTCTCTTATTTTTTTTTCCATGTTTTCTGTCATTCCTTTAATAAATATTTTTTATGTCAATCATTTTAATGCTTTAAGGAACCACCTCTAACATTCTGCCATAAAATTGTATTCATAAGGATTTTTGCTTAACTCTGTAGCATTTTTAGTATTTATAGTGGCATAATTCCTCATTTCCTGTGACACTTCTAGATTTGACAGCTGCCCATCAAGCAAACTTGATTCGTCATAAAACATTCTAGAAGATGAGTCAGAGTCCAAGTCTCCCAACAATTCCCACATTCTTGATTAGGTAAGAATGAAACAGTCTGGCTGGGAACTCATTCCTGTGCAGCCCAACTATGGCAGAAGAGACCAGAACAGAATATTTCAGGCTTACTGGAAGCAGCAGATATAGCAAGAACAGCTTTTATTCCCAAATATTATTCAGAACATTTGAAAAGCATAAACTGTTTCCATGTGTTTTTTCTTCCTGTATCTGTTCTCTCTCTGTCGCCTTTCCCGTTTAGTGTTTTAGAGCTAAATTTCTTCTTATTCCTCACTTAACATTCATTCAGTAAATATTTATTGAGGATTGCTAAGTTTCTCCATACTTGTCACTTATACTCAACTGTTATCCTTTCCTGTTTCCCCACATAACTTTATACTTATTGAATGCAATCACTTTGATCTAGTTCCTTGCCTTGCCTGGGCAGAAACCTGGCTCTTTTCAGATGCCGTAACTTTCCCAGCAGCACGTCACTCTGGATTGAGAGGTCCATGAGGGAAAGATAAATGATGCCTGCTTTATTCACTACTAAGTACCCAATGCCTTGCGAGTGGAAGACATTCCTTGTGTTCATCAATATTCGGTTCTTCTTTTTTTCTGGGCACACGAAAGACTCCACGTTCATCCCCTTGAAGTAGGAGAGGCCACAGGGTAGTTCTGACCAATGGATTGCAAGCTGATTGATGTGTGTCACTTCCAGGTAGAAATTTCTAAGAGCAGTT